CATGGATTCAATATATATATATATATATATATATATATTATTTTCAAATTTTAAGACAACATTAATTGTTATATTATTAATTATACTTTTACATCTCATCTAATTTTTAATTAATTTACGTATGCATTAATTATGAAACAAAAATGAAAGAAAATATAATAATAAACATTAAAATCATTGTATGAAACATAAGAAAAATTATTACATTCTTTAATTTGTATAATACAATTTAAAATGACTAGGAATGAAGGTATCAAAAGGAAAAACAGATAAAAACCAAAATTTGTAAAGGCCAATTATGCCAATCCGTTGTTGCATGGACATTTAATCAATTATAGCGTTTGCATCCCATTGGTGGTCAAAACTGTCTTCACGAACCATTTTACCACGAGGATTTGACCAGTTTAGCCAATGATCTTCTAGCATTCCTTCCATAAGGGCTCAAATGAAGAGGCACACGCGCTGTTCGACAAAATGCCCCCACAAAGTGGACTATGTCCACCATCCAGAAGACTCTTTGTCCTAGAGTTTTTAGAAAATCCTGATTTGGTACAATACCTTTAATTGGTGAAACCATTGAAGAGGAGCCTTGAGCCATCTTCATTAGATGGTTTGACCCACGCCCTAGCTTTAGAATAAGCCTTAACCTTTATTTTTTTATTTTTTTATTCCATTTAATGAATATTACACCTTGTACTTGCTTGCACATGTTGTGTGTGAATACATTGTTGGCACAACTGTCACATTTGTTCCCAGCTCCCCACCAAGAAGATTAACACCCTCTACATTGAATTCAGTGTTTAATGCGTCCATTGAAAATATTAAAAAAAAAGTTATTGTTTCTTAAATCGATTTATGTTTTTTACGGTTCCTAATGTATTGTCCATTTAATGTTGATTGATTTTTTTAAAAAATTTTAACAATTCTCCATGTTATTAGAGATTGTTTGTCATTTACAAAATTTATAAGTTTCTTTAGTTAATTTATAAGATAGTTTGATGAAAATAAGTTTATTTTAGTATACAAATTTATTTTAGGAATTTATAACTTATTTTTATAAGCTAGTTAAAGTAGTTTATAACTTACAAGCTCTTAACTCTTTTTTTTTCTCTTTCCTTTTTTACCTTTACTAATATACTTGAAATTATTTTTTATTCTTTTTAAATTTAGAAACTATTTTGCTTATATATTGTTCTCTCACTCTCATTATTAAATAATATATGTCATTTTACATTGATTAACTACTTTTATCAGATAATTTTACCAAACATTTTCAATTTAATCAGTTAGTTTATAAGTTTTCAACTTTTCAATTCATAGCTTACAACTTATAAACTTTTAGTTAGCTTATAAGCTAAATTTAACAAACACATGCCCTTAATCAGATTGGTAAATGGTATTGTTAGATTGACTCTTAACTAAATCTTTTATGGATGGAGATTGATTTTCTCCCGTCAAACTTATACACAATTAATCAAACGAGTAAATGGTATTGTTAGATTGACTCTTAACTGAATTTGTAATGGATGGAGATTGATTTTCTCGTGTCAAACTTATTCTTTAGTACTAACAATCGTTGGCTTCATTAGACAATTTCGAGCAATGTCATCATTGCATACAAGAGACAAGCTAATAATGTGGGGATCTTAATGTTCAATATTGTACAATTTATTATTGAGATTGAAATTACCAACCACTAAAATAATGAGGATAATTTTATACAAATCTGTTAATTGTGGATCTGGAATATCATCTAGAGTATTGCCTGGAGGGTGCAAATGATGGGTAGAGATATTAGATAAAGTACAAGGACTCAAATGATGACTTCATCTTGAGATGTATAGTGCATGTTTGACACGTGGGATGCATGATTAACACGTGGGATTCATTTGTGAGTTTGTTAGTCATTACTCATATGAAAACAATATATACAGACCCTTGTAACAATTTTAAATAAGAGGCTAAGTACCTAATGCGGTACAGTTTTTTTTTTTACTCTCTCGTGTGTTCTTGCATTTCAATATTCTTTGATTAACTTGATTCCTAAGTTCCCGATTTATATTTTACCAACAAGTGGCGCCATCTGTGTGGATTGGAAAAGAAAGATAATCAAGAATGGCAACGAAGTTCGATATTGAGAAGTTCACCAGAGCCAACGACTTTGGGTTGTAGAAGATCAAGATGGAGGCAATATTGATTCAGCAAGGGTGCGAGGAAGCATTGAAGGAGGAGACAAACATTTCATCATCTTTGACGCCGATGGAGAAGAAGAGTATGATTGATAGGGCAAGGAGTGCAATTGTATTGTGTCTTGGTGATAAGGCACTAAGAGAAGTTGCAAAGGAGAGAATCGCTGCATGACAAAGTCTTTGGCTCATAGACTTTGTTTGAAGCAACAACTTTACTCCTTCAAGATGGTGGAATCAAGAACAATTGAAGAACAGTTGGAAGATTTCAATAAGATCAATATTGATGACCTCGAAAATATTGGTGTGAAGCTTGAAGATAAGGATAAGGTTGTTATTCTCCTAAATTCTTTACCAAATACCTTTGAGCATTTTAAGGATACGTTGCTATATGGGAAAGATAAGGTGATTACTCTAGAGGAGGTTGTGACCTCTATTCGAACCAAGGAGTTACAAAAACTTCAAGATTCGAAGGGTGCAGAGGTATCGTCTAGTCTGGCAGTAGTGAAAGGTAAGGGAAAGAAGACAGAGGGTAAAAAGAAGAAGGCAAAGTCTGTAGGGAAGAAGCAGATCCAATGTTATAAGTGTCAGAAGGTTGGTCATATCATGAAGCATTGTCCTGAGAAAGGTGCCAAGGAGTCTCGGATACAGGAAACTACGTATGTTGTAGAGGCTTTGGAGGAGTATGAATCTGCGGGGGTTTTGGTGGCTTCGTCTGATGACTAATTGAAGAGTTAGGTCATGGATTCAGGGTGTACATATCACATGTTCCCTGTGAAAGATTATTTTGAGACCTTAGAACTAAAGGAGTATGGGACTGTACTTCTTGGGAACAATAAAGCTTGTAGGGTCCAGGGCATTGGGGCAGTCAGACTAAAGATGTTTGATAATCAGGAGATGTTGCTGCAGAATGTGAGGTATGTTCCAAAGCTAAAAAGGAAACTTATGTCCATTAGCATGTTTGATGTTATGGGTTGTTCCACCAAGGTGGAGGGTGGAATATTGAAGATGTCCACAGGAGCGTCTATAGTTGCTAAGGGAAGTAAAAGTAATGAGTTGTACATTTTGGAGGGGTCTACTATCATTGCACATGCGTCTGTAGCAATTCAGACGATATTAGACAAGGCTAAATTGTGGCACTTGCGTTTAGGCCATGTTAGCGAGAAAGGCTTGGTAGAGTTGGAGAAGCAACAATTGTTGATAGGTGATAAGCTTCAGAAGCTAGATTTTTGTGATCTATGTGTTTTGGGTAAGTCTCACAGAGTGCAATTTGGGACAGTTAAACACACCTTTAGTAGACCATTTGAATATGCACATGCAGATTTATGGGGTCCGTCGAGG